ATGCAGAGGTCGAAACGTGTGTTTGAATTTTCATCATGACCCTTAAGAATCCCACATTTTTTAAGGCTTAAGAATGTAAGCAGCAAAAAGAATTTCCTGAGAATATGACTTAAGAATGAGTGCCATACTTAGCGAACCTATGGTAAGAACGGTTAAAACCGGCCAAAGAGCAGCTAAGTATGCTTTAGGCAAAGAATGAATAAGTTGGCCTAAGAATGTATAAGAACACCCCAAAGAACGAAAAGAATACATAAGACTGCTGGCCCTAAAGAATGCTAAAGAATGGTAAAGAGTGGTTTTATTTCTTAAGAATGAGACTTAAGAACGAGTGCCATACTTAGCAACCCTATGATAAGAATGGTTAAAACCGGCCAAAGAGCAGCTAAGTATGCTTTAACACTAAGTTGGTCTAAGAACGAATAAGAACACCCCAAAGAATGGAAGAGAATACCTAAGACTGCTGGGCCCCAAAGAATGCTAAAGAATTTCAAAGAATGGTTTTAAGATAAACGGATGCCTTACGAACGTTCTTAGAACGTTCTTAGAACGGTGTAAGAACGTTCTAATGGTTATTCAATTTTATCAATTTGGCTGGGCTAAGAACGAGTTAAGAACGTTCTTAACCCCCCTCCGTGTTTGTAGGGCCACCTGCAAACCGGGGTGGTGGCAGCCCATTTTCATCTCCACCAGCAGGCAGCAGCCTTATGCTGCACATCCTAAGCAGCCTGGGCTGCAGGCAGCCCAGCCCCAGCCCACATTCACTGATGGTGGATCCAAAGGTGGCACCAGCGACAGCAGGGGCAAGGAGGATGACTTCATAGAGTTTCAAGTGAAGAAGCAATTGAAGGGTGAATCATTTGCAGCATGGCCCATGCGCTTCATGAAGATCAGCCGCAACACTGACTGAAAGGTCTCCCTGCAGAAGCTTGTAGACGCATGCATAGAGGCATGCGAGAACGATGCATTTATCAAGGGCTGCAATTTTAACGACCTCCAATACAAGGTCAGTAAAAATTCAGAGTGGTTGTGACAAGGGTTTAGAGTCATTTTGGGTCCTTGGGTTTTTAACTGGAGGAAGGCATAGATGAGTGTGTATGATGATATGCATACTATTCCTTTCCACTTCAGAGATCTGGCATGCACACTATATAGGCTAAGCTCTTGCCCTTGCTTGACTTGATTCCTGAGCAGAAATCTGGTGGCCCCTCCAACTATGTGGTGGTCACAACCAGCGTGGAACTGACTGACTTCATCTACAGTGGGCACAAGAAGTCGCTGGTGCTATGGAGCAAGCCCTCTGATGATGATGCCTACACACTGCACAGCAGGCGCAAGCCCAAAGTAGCCATGGGAGAGTGGAGTTGCTGCCTATAGTGGTGGTGAACACAGGCTGCGGCTGGGCCACCTGCGGCCCACCTGCAAACCAGGGTGGTGGCAGCCAAGGCTGCAGAGGATCTTCAGCATAGGACTGCTGCCCACTAGTGGTGGTGAATATGGGCTGCAGCTGGGCCACCTGCGGCCCACCTGCAAACCGGGGTGGTGGCAGCCCAGGCTGCAGAGGATCTTCAGCATAGGACTGCTGCCCACCAGCGGTGGTGAACATGGGTGGCGGCTGGGCCACCTGGAGCTCACCTGCAAACTGGGGCAGTGGTGGCCCAGGCTGCATAGGGTCTGCAGTATACAACTGTTGCCCACCAGTGATGGTTAACAAGGTGTGCTGGGTCTCATAGTATCCAGCCTATAGCAGGAGATAAAGATGGTCATAAGGAGCAGTGACAAAAGCGACCATTCGCTGTCAGGTAGCACAATGGCAAACACCCTACCTGTGCGATAGGTGCAGCATTTCCCAGCCCTGTCTGGGCTGCTACCAATAGTTCTGACAATGTTGTGCCCGATACCATCCCTGCACATCCTTTGCCACCTTGAGCTCCGAGGTCTCCCGACACTTCAGCCATTAGCTCCACATACGATTGCCCTGCACATACGTCCAAAGATGTGTTGTGCATATTTTCAGCCCAGAAGGAGCATAAAAAATAGCATATTCACCAGTCCCAATACGTTGCTTTTGTTGCTGTGGCTCCTGGAGCTGGACCAGCAGGTTACGCTGGCACTTCCCTTCTGTGCGAGGCAATGGCATTGCTCAGACAGACGAAGCCACATAGGTTACAAGCCACTTCAGCATAGTTGCGCCTGCGATCGGCCATAGCCCGCAGACGCGGACGCCGCAAATGCTATCTGTTTACACCCTACAGGCGTGGTTCACGTACGTATTCGCGTAATAGAATATCATAATAGGAATTCTCCGTGTTCCTTGCGAGTTGCGACTTGCGACCTGCGACTTTAGCAGTACGCAAGAGTGCAGTTCGCCTCGCACCCGCAATTTGTTATGCAAGCAGCCATAATGCTCATTTGGATTGATATTGTCATCATAACTCTTTTAAAAAAATGGCTGCAGTGAAGACATTTGTGTGCCGGTCGCTGGACGACGAGTCTCTTCGTAACATGCTTGGCGAACTCGAAACACCTTTCAAAGGTGTTCTCGATTTGCGTTTTCAGAAGCTGGGCTTGGATGCTATCGATACTGTAGTTGAGTTTTTAAGGAGGAATTCAGACGCAATAGTCTGCGTAGGGCAAAACAATTTTTATTTCCCACAGCTGTGTAAGAAGCTGAAACACGACGGTGGCCTGGAACTCTTGGAAAATAGAAGACTGACTTTCGGTTGGAGTGAGCCAGAAATGACCTGCGACTACATGTTCTTGGAGGCTTTCAAGAATGACCGAACCCTCAAACTGGAGGAAGCTTTACAGGCGCTTTCTGCTCTCATGGTCCAAGAGAATGAGAAGAGATTGGAGATTTTGAAGCAACAGGAAGCAGCTGCCAAAAAGCGGGCTGAGGAAGAACTCAAGTACCAAAGACGCTTGCTCGCATTTGAAGGATTCAACAAAACTGTAAACAACTTGATTGAATACTGCGTTATGGACACCGTGGATGACATCATGCGGGATGTCAAGGGCTACGAGCTGTTGTCACGAGAGCACAACCGGAAAATCTGGTCAAATGCTGGCGAGGAGATAGCGGAGGTGGATGGCTTGCTGTGGTATGAGCCACCGGCCACTTCAGCGGGGAAGAACGTCTTGGTCATTGTGGAGGGCAAGTCGAACATGACCGATGACGAGTTCGCCAAGGTCCCCAAGACTGTGTCTCGATTCGTGGAAGCCATCAGTCAGGCAGACGACGTGGACAACATCACCAACAAGGCGTTCCACATCAAGTTCCGGCGACAATGTGGAGACCTCAAAGCATTTTCTGGCGTCGAGGTATATGTTGCCGTTGGGGCTCCAGTTATGCGATCCGACATCATCCAGGCAGCCAGGGAGAAGGGCTACCTAATTATTACACGCAATGAGGGTGGCTATAGTGCTCTGAACGGGGACACATGGCTGAAAGGCTGAAGTATCAGGGTGGGGCGTCCATCGTTACCCGAGCTTTGATGCCCTCGGAAAACAAGACGGTTGACATGTTCTCTTTGCGTAAGTACCTCCGTTGTTTATGTAGTTCGGGTCGGCTGTATCGGCGTGTATACGGCGTGTATCCCTCAGGGCATGAATAGGCGGGCCTGTACATGCACGACAACAAAACGCATGACGTACAATGTACGGTGTATGATGTACGGTTGAATGACGTGATGGCTCATGGATACTCGGAACGTACCCCAACCAGGGGTCGGCAAACGCCGCTGGTACAGCGGGTCCTTCCGTTGTACCCGTTGCAGGAATTCAACTGTATTCGTCATCGCTGGTAAGGCAGCCGTACGGCGGGGTGCAGAAATTCCCCCCAAAAGGCAGGTTTGCGCAGTTTTGAAGCTATAAACTTCATCATTAGGTTACCAAACCTTCCATTTTACAAAAGGTAAACGCTAGCTTTGAGAGGTTCTCATAACGAACAGTCAATTGACGACCTTTCCTCGGCTTTTACCAAAAAATGTCCATACAGTTATTCGACCCTGGCACCAGTACCCGTGACAGTTATTCAGGGTTTGCCGACCTCTGACCCCAACACAAAGTTGACATCAGCTCCCTCCTCAATTTTGTCATAAATGAGTACATCTTGTTTACGTCATTTTTCACAATGGCGTTGTAGAGCTCTTCTGTTGGACGGCTGGTTTTGACAACGCCCGGTCCAGGGGGTACCTCTGGGTCGTAGTCTGCAGTACAAATGTTCGTACGGCAGCAGTACGTGTGACGAAGAAAGAAAGGAACGTAAGGCCAAGGACGACATGACCGCCGGCACGTTTTTGCCGTGACCTGTCATTAACCACCATTTGCAAAATAATGCTGTCGAGGATGCGAACAAGTAATAGGACGAAGCTTACACACTGGCACGCAAGCAGAAGCATACAACAGGGTTACGCGACAAAACTGACCCAGTATGCTTTCGGTATTGAGTGCAGATCAGGGTTCGACACCCCGTACGGGGCCCGTAAGTTTTTGGCCTTTTTTCGGTATCCCCGTCACGGTGGCTCCTGTAAGGATTTAGGGGCGCGAAGCGCCCCCGTACGGGGCCGCCCCCAGACCGGCCGAAGGCCGGTTACGGTGGCTCCCGTAAGGATTTTAAGGATTTATAAGAGGCCGTACAGGGCCCGTAAAGTCCCCTGACCATATAAAGGATAAGCCACACACTGATACCGGGGCAAAGCCACTGATTGATCAGGCTGCTGAGATCTACTCGTGTAAGGGCTATACAGGCATTATTCACAAGTTGTTTTCTGACGTTAGCAAAATTAATTTGAAGCCATACGGAGAGGATGATAATGAGGAGGTTGCGACTGACCCAGAGATTGAAGTACTGGTACAAGCAACATGCCCCGCTAGTGACGATGAGGCTTTTAGTGACAGTGACTACGAGACCGGCGTAGAACGAGATACCGATGAGTCGTGCGTGGATGAGGATTTTGATGAGGAGGAGGATGAGGCGGACGAGAAAGAGGAGCAGAAGGGATGGGCGGCCGCGGCGGCCAAGGCGCTTGGCTTTCGCTGAGTGTGCCGTGTCCCCGAGTGTAATGGTTCGCAAGAAAATAACGAAAATAACGATTTACAGGGCAAAAAAATGCAAAAGCGTCACTTTCCACAGCGTTTCAGCCATGGACAGTGCCCCCGTAAAGGTTTTGCGGGGGTTACGGGGACCGGTACAGGAGCCTGATACGGGGGCCCCTCCGTAAGGAAAATTTGGGAGGTACGGGGGAGCCCGCAAGTTTCAGGAAGGTCAGTGTCGAACCCTGGTGCAGATGCGGCAAATACGGTCTCAATGGCGCCCTTGATATTGGGAATATTCGCTATTTCATGACCAAAAAACGGCCAAGACATGGCCTGATCACGCACGCCAGGAGCTCACGGCGGGTAATAACCTTACATCGAACATGAAAGAATACATAGCTAGGTGGCTGCATGAGCCTTTTGTTTTGTAATTGACTATATGTATCACATGATTCTGCATGCATACGTGCATATATATGACCTTTTTGGGCGGGGCCCCAGCGTGAAGCGCCCAGGGGGCCCCCGACCTGTAGGATTGCCCATGTCCGTGTGTGTGTGTGTGTGTGTGTGTCTGTGTGTGCGTGTGTGTGTGAGTGTGTGTGTGAGTGTGTGTGTGTGTGTGAGTGTTTGTGTGTGTGAGTGTGTGTGTGAGAGTGTGTGAGTGTGAGAGTGTGTGTGTGTGAGAGTGTGCGTGTGAGTATGTGTGTGTGAGAGTGTGAGTGTGTGTGTGTAAGTGTGTGTGTGTGTAAGTGTGTGTGTGTGTGTGTGTAAGTGTGTGTGTGTGTGTGTGTAAGTGTGTGTGTAAGTGTGTGTGTGTGTGTGTGTAAGTGTGTGTGTGTGTAAGTAAGTAACGGACCAAACATAATATCTCGCCCGGCTGAAACGCGTTATCGGTACTATGTAGCATTCTCTATTGCAAGGTATCTCGCATGTAGCTAACAAAGATCGTATGAGCACAAACAAGTTTAGCTGCCTCCATTCACCGACCTCAAAAGTCACATCAACGCCTCTCGCGCTAAATTTCATCCCGAAAGCTGCCGCGTATCTCATAATGGAATTCTGAGATGACGGCGTATGATAACTCGAACACCCAGCTTGTGTTACCATTAGCCGGCATGGGCAATCCGACTTGCCACCAGCAGGCCAACAAATTTGCTTTCATTTCTCTGAAGTACACAAGCTGCTTGTTTGTACATTTACTTTGGCCAATGCACGGGGCCTCCGGAGACTTGCGGTGTGCCGCGATGAAGCTCGCGGCTGTGGGGCGGATTGCTGAGGCCGCTGGCGCTTCGGGGATAAACATCACAGACAGCACCGAACTTCACCCAGCTTGCGTTACCATTTGGCGGCTAACAGAGCGCGTAAGGGACGGCGTTATATACCTAGGGAGGAGCGAGTATGCCCTTGCTGCGGCACTGATAGCCACATCGAGGATGAGAAACACATTTTGCTGGACTGTCCGGTGTACGACGAAATCAGATCTGATATGGGCTTTCCACGCTTCGAACATATGAAGGACGCTATGAAGTGGGAACCTGAACGCCTGGCAAGGATGCTGGAACGCATATGGTCTCACCGCAACTCTATCGTTCCATTTGGTCGTTAGTATACTTCATCACTTGTCTCGTTGGAAGTGCGAGGTAGGACGGTGCTTATAGGCGATTTGGCAGCCCTTGAGCCCTCGGCTCGTACTAGGGTGGTTTGCAGGTACGGGGAACGCACCCACGACCATGTAACAACAACAACCATTTCCCCGCACGGGCATTCCGACTTGCGGTCTGCCGCACTGTCCATGCGGCATGCACCCAGGAATGATGCGATTCGCGTGGAGCCCGCAGGCGGTGCTGACGATTCCGCTGGTTGCAAGCTTACTAAGCTGGTTGCTAGTAGCTCCCACACCATCAGCACTGCTGCAACAAAGCACATCTCCCACCGCGTTGACACTACCCATCAATTGTCACACGTGCCGCGCTAGCTACCGGCCTGTACGAATGCAGGGGGGCCCCGCCCTTTTTCCGGCTTTGCGGAAGTCGACACCCGACTTGTCTGCGCAGGCTTCGTAAGCCTCCTGCGCTTCCCGTTGCCGTTTCCGCATGATTTCTTCAATAGTGGAGCCCATCTTCGCCGCGTCAGGTTTACCCATGGAGCGGTTACTAGCGACTAAGATTGGCGAGGAAGTTATTGTAAGCTTATTATCGCTACGAAAACCGCGCCGGAGCCGCCAAACCGCCTAATCTTATGTAAAGTACAAACGTTGCGTCGTGTCACACCAAGTCACCCTCAGTCACACTCAGCGGCTTTTGAAAATGTTTTATCGTGTTCTCTATTCTAGGTAAGAGAACGAAGAGGTGAATGAAACATGTAACCACAAGCAGTTATTGTGGATGACTCTGAAGTTGATGATGATAACGTTGTTGGACAAGAGTAGCAGCCTTGGCATAAATACGTTTTGCTCATATCATGTAAGCTGCAGAACAGGTGCTGTGGGTTCGCTCGCGCGGGACCTGCAACGGCATGAAAGGCGTCGACCCAGATAACAGTCGTAGTGCGCGCGTCTCAGACACCGACGACTGACGACTGGCGACACGACTCATCAAAAGGTTATTGGTTTAATGGGGTTGTCCCAAAAATATACGGAATGCATAAATATGCATATCTCATAAATGTGCGTTACGCGACAGCAAAATCTACGTTTAGATAGATCTTAGATCACGTTTGCACATACGATCTTCGCCTGTGAGTGAGCGAGACACCCGCGCGCAATATCATGTAAGCCTGTGAAAGCTATAAGCTGCTGTCCCGTCACTTTAAATCAAGTCCTCCCATCCTGCCAAATCCATTTTCTGTTGCTGACCAAGAAATTTGGAAAATTAAGCGTTCGTCCATTTCACTATCACTACAATTACTCTGGAGCCGTAAAGCGATTACATTAATCTGGCTTCCGACTACATCCAACACTGGGGACCCCCTGGGACGAACATACAAGTCATTCCCCGAGTTAACCCTGCAGTAGTACGAATATAACAAGTGTCCATGAAGGATAGTAGCTTCAACACGCTCATCCAATGTTATCCGAATTCCAAAAGAAACGGAATAAATCACAAATAAACTGTTTTTATCATGGGCGCAATGAAACTAGCCGTCTCAGCCCGTTAATGTAACGATTAAGGACGCAGCAGGTATACGGCAATTCGTACGACCATCCCGGAACCGATGCGATTGAGCGCCAAAACCGACTTTATGCAACCACATACAAGTATAGACCTCGACACAGTAAAGAATGTGAAATTGGCAAGACGCTGGACTTGTGGGACACATGTTGTACTTAGCGTCTACCAGTGCACTCCTGTGTCTACAAGATGTACTTGGTACACAAAAGTCATTTTAAGATGTATAGTTGCACATCTTCATGTGGGTGCCACAAACGCGTGTCCGTAATGCGACACACATCGTACACATCAAAATTCAACGTAAACACGCCTGCAGCCTCATCAAAGCACCACAACATTTTCAATGCAAGGGCTCGCAGGCATTTCTCCAGCGAATGTTGCATATGTTATGGAGATCAACCAACTGCCGTACTTCGCCGTACCACTCCAGGGAAAAAATAAGGACATGCAACTCACTTTCTAAAAGAATATGCTCAGCTATAGCTCATGGCGGGATGAACAGGAGTTAACGTCTCCACATACCTCTATGCTCCTAGTACAGTCACAAATGCACTGCTATACACAGGTACACCTTCCGAGAAAAATGCCACTCGAGTGCAAGACAGACAGACAGACACACACACACACACACACACACACACCACACACACACCACACACATGCACTGCTATTATTGCTGCACACGCACGACGCAAGTGGGAGTGCACGTGTACACTTGTTTTTCTCTTTCCCGGTCGACTGCTGTCTTGCTGACCCTGTTAACATGTTAGGGCTATGGTTAGGGTTAGGGCTAGGGCGCTGCTGGCGGAAGGCTGGCTGCCCCTCGCTTTCCATCACCCGGAGAATCCGAGAGACCGTCACCATCAACATTCACAGCGGCGTCGTCATGGCCCAGTGCCAGTGCTCCTTGGGCCTGGCATGATGGGGAGTGTGAGAAGCGTTTGGGCTTTTTTGAGAGTTTGGAGGGTGGGGGTTGAAGGGTTGGTCCACGAAGGGCGCGGGCAAGGAATTACTGGGACAAGTTCTTCAGGATAGACACGACCCAAATCAAAAAGACGCGCAAATATGGATGAACCCTTCCCGTCAGCCAACACCTTCCGCTATGCCTGGCTGGGCGCAGTGGTAGTAGGTATTACAGCGAGCCCCAAGGAAAACCCCCAAGGTTGGTCCATCACGAGCCACAACGGACCGCCGTGCGGACCGCCGTGCGCACATTCACCGCCTCTACACAGCTGCAACAGACAAGGATACGGACACTGTTCGTGCTTTATTGTTAGTTGCTTTTAACAAAAGCAACTTTTGATAAAGCAAATACACTAACTAGAATAACAGAGCACTAAAGGGGAACCAATTCGTCCCCGTCGGGAACAAATAGCGGTATGCATAGTACTGATGGTAGTAACTAATAATAGGGCCGGCCACGGATGGATTCACTGAAGCCGGCATCCCTGTGCATCCTTAATAATTTCTGTGTCACGGGGTCGCAACTCGGTTGCAACTCAGCTGCTATGTCCTCTGCCGACATTTACCGTCCGTCTCGTGGCGATTCCATGGGGTACATCTGTGCACGACCCATGGGTCGCACACTGAAATACCATGGGCCGTTAAGGATGTGCGCCTGACCTGTCCTGTCCCCCAATGGACTACCGGCGGTTGGACCTTGCAACTGCCACATCCATTCACCATCTGTTCGACTGGCCCTGCCGCGCTGCTACTGCGGCCCCACCCACCGATTGCCAGTTGAGGCGGTCCAGCACAGAGGCGATCAAAGCCAGGGAGGCCGGGGGGATGGCGGCCAGGCAGGCGAAGAAGAAGAAATTGCCGCCAAAGAGCT